AAGCAACCCAAAGCAACTGTTCCACCATGTTCCATCTGGGAGTCGGCTGTCAAATCCGCTCCTCGCCTGTCTCAGTGGATCATGCGGGGCTTTGGTGCCTTGGTCATCTTCTTGGCCTTCAGCTTCTTCATCGCAGCCTGCTACGCCGCCTATCAAGCACCCAGGTGGTCCGGCAAACCCAGGCTGGGGCGTTCAAGAGACTTAGGAGCTGAAGTTGGAGAATTCAGAACACCATGATGCCATGTTTCCAATTTCCGAAAGACGATCTGGGTGGTGATATTTTAATAGAGAGATACACCCAACGTCTCAGCCCTGCCTGGTCTATTTCCCGAACCGAACCCAGCGTAGGCCGCATGCCGTTCGCGATACGGATTGCTCCAAAACGTAGTCCGTCCAGTTGGGGAAGCAGCGATCTGTTCAATGTCGCTAATTACATGTTGCTACAGTGTGAAGAGTTTATAAACTTATGAGTAACAAGGACGCTACTGTACTAGGGGCTCCTGGCATCGCTACTAGGAGCAAGGACGCTACTAGGGGCTCCTGGCCATACTACTATAGGAACAAGAAGCTACTTGTAAGAAAGGACGCTACCTAATAATCCTAATAGCGATCCTTCAGAATAATTTATAAACATGTTCGCAAGAATGACTAAACTCAACCTGAGGCACTTGCCAAACACAGTGCATGAAACAAGTGATTTTCAGAAGTCGGAAGAGGTGCCCGACCCGGTTTCAAGCAGAGAGCCCTGCGACTCCTCAGAAGCTTTCTGGAGAGGCCCTGGCGCCAATCAGGTTGATGGTTTCCAAATGCTGCGAAGAGGTTCTTCTCAAGCAGTCATTTGGACCTTGCAGCTTGTACCCGAGAAAGTGGAATATGTTATGATGAACGTCTAAACACATATTAAACCATTACAACTATATTCAAAAGTTAAGCTTGTAGTTATAGCTATAAGATTTGGCAGGCAACTTCAGGTCAAAAACTTTGCATGTGTTGGCCTGGATGATGTACTCAGTTGGTGTGGCCTAAATTCAAGTGCTTCCCTTTCGCCAGAAATCACGATGTACTCAGCTGCTGCATTGCTGGAGCACTATGGAGTACTTGCTTGAGAAAAAAAGAACACAAACTGTCCAACGTGGTGTGTGTAGATTCTTGAAAACCTGACGCCTGTGAAATGCACTTTCAGATAATGTGTTTCCTGATCGTTCAGTTGTTCAGGCTGGCAGCGATTCGCTTCTTGATCTTCCGCTTCAGGCCCAATGTTTGGTATTTCGGCTTGGTCCTCTTGGCCCGAGGACCCTTGCTGTCGATGCCAGGGGTCATTGCAACCAACATGCCCAGCTTGCAGCTCACCTTGATGCACATGATCTTGCTTGGATCTCTTTGCCTTCAGCTGTGGTTCTTGCCTTGGAAATCTCCAATCCTCAACTTCGTGGACGGATTGTCAGTGTCACTTCTCGTCATGCTCTTGGCCGGGTCGCTGGGATATGCCGACAGCAGTGGGGAAGACGCAGCACGTGTTCTGGCCATCTTCGGCACGGTGATTTCGTCGCTGATGGTCGTGATCCTGGCAGGAATGGTCACGCTCGGCCTGTGTGCGCTTTGCTATCGCTCGGCCTTGGGAAGCTCCAAGGAACTCCGTATCATGAACCTTGGGAAGGTGCCAGAGGAGCTGCAAGGGATGAAGCAAGTTCCCCCACCCGGACGAAGATCATCAGATTTTGAAGGGTTCAAGGCCTAGAAATGGGTGCCTACAGATGGGAGGGTGTTTGTTTGTTTGTTTGTTTCTTTTGTGCGGGCCTGAACCTTCGCACCTAGCTTGGGCTGGACATGAAATACATCCCTTTTCTGTCCTCACAAGAGTCCACTCTTTAGGAGAAAGATGTCTTTCAGTCCCTCTTGGATGTGGCCACCTTCCTCAAGGAAGACGCTCAGCCTTTGAGAAGATGAAAAAACGCCACTGTCTTGGGAGTTTTGGTTTGTGGTGAGCATGGCCTGATCCAGCAGGTGGTTTTCTGATCCAGCAGTTCGTCGGGGTGTTTGCCTGCTAGGGGGTGCTCATTCTCCGGGAATCCATTTGGAACTCTGTTTTCGTTCAATTTTAAAGGGTTTACACATGGCCCCTGTGAAAAAGGATGGACTGGGCAAAGATAAGCAATTTATTGCTGACCTGGGCAAGCTCTCAGTCTATGACATTGGCACCATCATGCGAGCCATCAACATCTTGGCGGATGACTTGAACATGGCGGTCGGAGATGGCATGCGTAAGAGTTCCTCCAAGCGTATCGCCACCGGGCAACGCACAACCAGGACGGTCTTCCAAGCTGGTTCTGATATGATCATGTCATCATCACCAACCTCTCCATGCACACATGGGAATGCCCGTCAACCACTATAGACTATATCATACCCTTCAATCAACTCGCCGCTCCTGTGGGAGTGTACTTTCGTTCATCCTCGTGTGGGTTGTCCAACTGATGTTCCATCGGGCCGTCAAGGAGGAATGTGACTGGGTGACTTGGTCAGAGCAACGGCATATATGTTGGGTATGTTCTGACTTACTAACTTAACATGGAAGTGGAAAATTGTTCCTTGGAAGACGACTTTCCTCCATACAAACTGTTTCACTTCCATGTCAGTGAGTCAAAGTGTATCTCCATGTATCTCCTATAACCAGCAACAGTGGATGATGATGGTTCAGCTGTACGACGACATCAGTAAAATAGTGATTTGCTTGTGGAACCGAACCCGAGCCAGACCGCAGGTTTCCTAAGACAGACCCAAAAACTAAGTGGATCCGTCCCAGACCCAGACCTGCGAAGGGGGAGCCAGACCAGCTTTTCCGCTGAGAAGACCGCGCAGACCGCGCTCTCATCGGCACCGCCCGAGACCGGCGGTGAGAACACTCAGTCCGCCATGGTATGACGGCACCGGCATATACCGGTTGGCCGCGGTTGGCCGGTTGGTGAAGTGAAGAGGGATGTCCAACTTGAGGAGTTGTTGAGGACCCTTGCTAGCGTATTAGGGCCCATGAGCAACCGCCATGCAATGACATGCAATGACTAATTTAGTAAAGAACGGTCGTGAATCTCAGGAATTGGGCTAAAACCTGCAAAAGCGACAGGCACCCCTGAAAACGAAAAGCCCCGCTGAATCATGTCCTTTGTTTTGGCAGGCGCTCATATGCCCCAGTGATATCGTCCTATATCGACGAACGTGAAATGCCAGGAATAATTTGTTTTGGCATGCTTTGGCAGCCATTTGGAACATTTTGAACTGACGCTCTGGTCGAAGGAGTCTCAAGGGAATCCGTCGGCTGCTCGAATAAACTTTAGTGTTCAAGCTACACTCCGTTTTTTGGCTAAACAAGGATGTATTTCTGTTTAAGTTTAGGTCTTGCAAAGCTCAAAACATTGTTCATCTATGTTCATCCATGCGGAGTGAGGAATGGTGGACCTCTTTTCTGATGAGAAGGTCCGTCCTTCAAGTTGAAGCGCATCTTTTTGCGTGTAGCAACTCCGTTGAGAGTTGCGTTACGGCCCCCCCCGGGCTTGGTTAATTCGAATATACCACCCAAGCGTTCCGATCCACCATTTTCAACATGATTAACCTGGATTTGTAGTCAAACAGTACCGGTTGTTCAGGAACCCTTAAAACAATGGTGGTTGGAATCCTATAGGTCATGTAATACGTGCATATACAGTATCTATATACTGTACTTGAAGCTCCCATGCAGCTTCGAAGGCCTTCGTGCCTGACACACTGATGAGTACCAAGGGCTTGTCCCAAGGGCTTGATTCTTTCGCGCAGACAACTCCTTTGCGAGTTACGTATGCGTGGCCATACGGAAAACGGAACTACCCGGAGTTGCCTTGCGTTTTGGATTCTACAAAAGGGCATTGTGCTGCACCCTTCAGAAACTCAACTACGATCGGTTGCTCTGAAAGATGATCTTGGAACTTTGGAGTTGGTGTGCGGGACATCGAGCATTTCCGTGCAAAGACTTGTCCTTGGTGAAGTAAAGGACATTCCCTTGCAGGCCCCCCCTTCAAGACCTTTCTTTTGTAGTCTCCCCTGCTAATTGGACGAAGGCCCAGTTCACCACGCCCACTTGGTCTTCGGAAAATGGTCTGAGTCTTCCACCCTCAGGTTCCATGGGATCGTTTGCCTCTTGAAATTGGAGTCCAAATGGGTCGGTCAGTACACCAGGTCCAGTTATGGGGTCGGTCTGTCGCCTCCAGGTGACACCGAGTTCCTCCTGAAGCCTCCACGAGAAAGGCCCAGTTCGCACCGTGCGGGTTCACCACGAGGAGTGTGAGGAAGTACCCATCCCATACACTCATATACACTCCATGTATGGCATACATACATTCGCCTCTAAACACCACCCCAATATGTTGGGGATGGGTGGGATGAAACCGTCGAAGTGTCATGGAAGATTCTCCGTTTGTTTTCGATTGTTCTGTTGTTTCGGAGTCTTTCCAGGGCGGGTTTTGCGGGGTTTGAACATGTTTGTTGTGTGTTAAGGCCCCCAACTTGGAGGCCTTGCAGATCCAAAGCATGTCCTCAAAAAGGGTATGGACTCCGCATGACTCCACATACCGAATTGTAGACTCGATTCATCAAACTCCCCACATACCAGCTGCTTCCAAGGGGTGCGGGTGCCCAATGGAAGCCCCTACACCTCTAAGGGACTTCCATTGGACACCCCTTGAAGGTCCAGGTAGAAGAGGTTTTACACTCCAGGATGATTTCTAATCAATCAGTCGACAGGTGCACTCCCTTCACATCCTTCAGCGGATAGAGGAGCATATTCCGGGAGGAACAAAATGAAACACTCGCTTCCGCTACACTCCCTATGGATCCATATGCCTTCGAAAGAGGGTAGTTGGAGACATGTTTCTGTTGGCCTGAGGAGTCCATACACCCCTAAGGAGGTACGACTGGATGATCTTGGATCCCCAAAAAGGGCCTGTTTCTGCCGCTTCTGCCGCAGCGTCCAGATGAGCATCCTGGGTGGGCCCTTGTTGGAAGAGAACGAGGTCGAGGAGCGCTGACACTCACTCGTGCTCCCGAACGCTCCCGGTGATCCGCCTGACACTCACGGCTTATCAGGTCTTTCTTAGCAATGGTGGGTGTTCCTTTGACCCAAAAGAAAGAAGTGGCCCTCAAATGGAAAGGGTTGGGAAACGCTGTGTTTGATTTTCATGTCATCCAATTCGTGTTCCAAGACTTTTGGAGACGCCTCTTCTTTTTCAAGCGGACTATCCCTTTTCAATCGTGGAGGATCTTGTGGCACCTGACTGTCGCCGCAATCCCAAGATATGGTTTGTCTTTAGAGACCTCCAACGAGTCCGAGGATGTGCAGGTGCTCTGGATCAGCGCCCCACCTGACGGATGTTCATGGCATGTTGTCCCATCCAAGTCTTGGACATGGCATGACCATTGGACCATTAGCTTGAACATCAAATGCTGGGTCAGTCATGAAACGAGCAGTCCATTGGCTGGATAGGCATAGAGATAGACACCTTGACTGAGAGCCGGAGACAGTTCTTTTTGGACTCATATCTATATTTGATACTCTATAACAGGTCGATTCGAAGACATCACTGTATGACCGTTTTCACCGGCCAACCGGCCAACTGGGCGCGGAACCCGAGTCCCGCCCTGGAACCGCATCCTGTTCCGCGTGGCATGACCGATCTGAGGGTTGGGGACGGAAACCGATCAGAGAAGGGGGTCCAATTGATCGGCAGAACGAACTTCTTTTGGTGCAGACTTTGGTGTGGCTATACCAACAGAGGTTAAGTGACCTGAACTAGGACCCTACAGGGATACCTATATAGGGATACCTTTGCTGGAATTAAAGTTGGGCGAGTGAACATGATTGCCTAATGCAGATCGATCGGTCTTCCGGTCTGGCTTAAGCCATTCCAATCCCTCCAGAGACGACGGAGCAGAGGACTTGCTTCGGAAGTATCCGCGCTTTAAAGGAGCCGGCGAAGAAGACCCGGGAGACGCGTGGAACGCCGAAGGTCGTCCCTCGACGCATGGTGTTGTTTTTTCCCTTTTCGAAAAGGGACTGGAAACAAAGGTCTAACAAGTGTCAAGTGTGTAAACACGCTGTAGTGCATGTTCCTGTTGAGTTTGGTAGAGGTAGTGCAGGTATTGAGCTTATCCTTGTCCTTTGAAACATCCCGTTGTATTGAGTAGTGTCCTCGAACCGTTCGATATAGTATATAATATATAGTTTTATTGTTTAACTGTCATGGTTAAGTAGGTGCATCGGACACACACACACAAATGGGGTAGAATGATGGTTGGTTCTATGTGAACATCATCCCACACTCTGCGTCGGTCACGGTGCTACCCCGCCTGGGTCCAAACTGACACCTGGATCCCGATGGCCTCTCTTCCAGACGGCCAATGAACTGTTGCCCCCCTTCCACACGAACCCGGTGAATAGATGAACGTACTGTGTAGGTAAAGATGATCTAGGTAGTGATCTAGGTATATATGTTATATAATATAATGTTATATAATAGAACGTGAATGATCTATTTTGGACAGCAACCAACCAACCAACCAACCAGCCAGCCAGTCAGACAGCCAGCCAGCCAAGCAAAATATGACCCGGCTCCTATGACAACAGAGGTCGGTTATAGGTATCCTTACCATCTTGACCTGCACGGAGCGGCAGTGGATCTCGCCGGCACCGAGCCAATCGACCGAGCCTCTCCTTGCCCGGTGGTCGAAGGAAGTCCAAGGATCTGAAGTCTGAATTCCTTGAAGAAAGATGAAAAAGATCTGGAAGATCTGACATCTGGTTTCTTAGTAAAGAGACAAAAGATCCAGGAGTTCCATACGGAAGAGTTCCGGGTGCCTATGATCCAATATTCACTTTATAGGGGTTAGATGGGGTTGATATACCAGCGCAACATTTAATGTCCAGTTGAGCTCCAACGACATTCCAACCACATACATCCTCTTTTGGAAGCAACATACATTAAATAATAGCACACAATATGGCACATGCCATCCCTGGCAACAACTTCACCAAAGGCCTGTCGCCAACGCACCAGCGCATACGCTGTTTCACGGCGCAGGAGCGTTGCCACCCGAGGCGAGGCTTTGGACTGAGGCGAGGCTTTGGACTCCACGTGAGTCATGTTGGGAGGAAGTCAGGCGGCCGAGTGAGGTGAGAAGAGATATGGAGATCGGAGTCACATCCTGATGTTTGTACCTGTTTGGGTTCCTGTCTAAGCTGAGAAGGTGGGGCACGTCGACCTTCCATGGGCACACCCACCCCTGGCCGAAGCGAAACGGAGGAAACGGCCCAGTCACGGGTGAACTCAGACCGAACCCTTCAAGTGGCCTGGCCCTGTGACCGAAGCAAGGACAAAGCATGTGCACAAAGCATGTGCACTACTACAGCACTTGGTGACGTATCAACGGTCGCTGCAAATCTTGGCAGGCTCGCAAGGACTCATCCTGTAGATCAGGAGTTTTGCAGGGAACTTGGCTTTCTTGACCCACACCTTGTGTCATAAATCACCACAACTATTAAAAGAACTCAAAGGCCACTCTCCCCCCCCGAGCGACCATTTTGTCCTATACAGCTGGATTGGTTTTCTGTTTTCCTTCTTTGCAGTGCCGCACCTGAGGCGTCCACACTCCCAGTGGAACCCACAAAAGCCAAGCCAGGCATATGAGAAAGAGGTAGACCATGGTAGTAGACCAAAGAAGATGATGAGAAGATGGCTGCTTTGCACTAACAGACACTAACACTAAAGATACTTGCGGACGCCCATCTCCAAAAAGTACTTGTCCTCCCAGTGCCGTTGATACTCATCTCAATGCATGTGGGATCCTGAAAAAAAATTCGACGATCCTCAATACAGGCGACATCCAGGCGAACCCAGGCGACTGGGATCGAACTGGAACCGTTGTGGTTAAAACCCTAAGAATCCGGACTGGAAGCGACGGAAAGGCTTTCTATCAGGTCCTGAAGTCTGCAAAGATGTAAGCACAATGAGGCTTCTTAGGGCTTATAATTCCCTAGGGCTCGTGTGTCAAGCAAATCCTCAGGTTCGGGTTTTGCAACCTTCCCTTCAAAATCCAAAAAAGAACAAGAAAGTCTTTATAGAGTCCAGTGAAGGCATCATTCATTCATTGCATTTGGACTCAAGAAGGAGGCCTCAACGCCGATCTACCGACCCGACCTACGTGCGTATTCCACGTGCGCGCGTGGCGACGAGCCGCGACTCGGGAGGCCGAGCTCGAGACCTTCTTGGCCAGCAATGGGAGCCGAAAACCCACGGACCGGGCTTACGCCAACACGAGCGGGCCGGGCAGGCAAGCAGTGCAGGTGCAGAAAACACGGTGTGTTTTGTTCATGTTCACTCCGTGTTGGTGGGGAAAGCCGTTTGGGCATGTTTCAGAAGGCAATTATTGGTGTGTTGGTCAAAGTCACTCGGCATGTTTGGCCTTTAGATGTTTTACCTTGTAAATTTGCGCGGATTGGGTGGATTCCAGGACTAGCAATTTCCATAATCCACTTTGGAAACATATAGTCTGATAGTCTGGGGTTGAGTTCATGGCAACAGACCCAGACTACGCGGGTCTCCGCCATGTGCTGCATATGCTTGTTTTATTGAGCAGCTCGACTTGTGACATCTTGCGACCTCGCTTGTGCAAGGACCTGAGTGAGAACGGGGAGAAGAAGCCCCCAGTGAACTGTGGCCTGCTGACCAAAGCCAGGCGGGTAAACGAGTAGAAGACGGCAAGCTCCGATGTGGAAACATGGTTAGATTATGTTAGATTATGTGCATCATTCTGCATCTATCGTATTCAAAGTGAGGATGACTCTTCAAATAACACTTTACACATCTCCCCAACCATCTCTCCAGCCATCGATCGAAAAGCGGTCCTGTGCCCAGCCATGCTTTGTCAGGTTGAAACTGGCTGAGTTTAAGGTCGAAGAAGCTACGCTGGAGCCGCTTGGACGGGATTCCGGCGACGGTGGTGGACGGTGATGAAACATGGACGGAAATCAGGCTCCCAGACACGACTAATGGGACTGGCATATTGACATACATTGACTCCAGGTCAACCACCCCAATGTAGGTAAACATGATATACATGGAGTGTTTGGGGCTGTGATGTAGACGTTTGATTAATAAACCCCCCCATGTATTTCAGAGGATGTCCAATTCAAAAGGGTCGGTTTATCTACCTCAAGAGTCCATATGAAGGAGATTGTTTTGGAACCTTTTCCAAACCTGTAGGGATGACTCGTTGGAATCTCGGTTTGACTCGGTGCGCATGACCGAGCGCAGAGCGCAGTAGAAGTTGAAGCGATGCATGACCGAGCCGCACTAATTAGTTGGGGCAACGGGTGTGCAATCCATTTGAGAGATCCATGAGTCCCAGTCTGAACTATCTATGTACCTATAACCTGAGCCCCTCTATAAGGGGCAAGTTAATAGACACCTCGCGGTGATCTCAATTGTGAGACAGTTTTTGTGCAGCTCAACAAGCCCGGTAACACCTTGCACATGGCACAGCTAAACAGTTCAGCTTGGTTCAAGGGTGGTCGGCATGGGGGTTGAGATCCTCTCTTGTCTCAGGTATCTCTCCTATTGCAAGCACAGGCTCTGGGAGTTCGAATTGCTTGAAAAGGGTGGCGTGAGGGTTGAATTCCCTGTATCAGATTCTGAGCTTCATTTTAGAGATGCAGAGGAATACTCATACAACAATTGAACCGCCTTTTACTTCCGTTTCATCCATTCCAGGGTGTTTCTTCAGGGTCGGCGGCATGCATGATTTGACTCTTGATTCATTGTCAAGAGATGTCAAGAGGTCAAGATCAGTGCCGCACATCAGTGCTTCACGCCAGGCAGCAGAGGTCCAACTTTTGTACGTTGCCTCAGATTGCCTCCTGCAGCCCAGTTCCACGCGTGCGCGCTGCTCCCACCGTCTCCCACGTCTCCAACGGCTACGCCGGTGAGCGCGAGCCGTCGCTCCGGAACGCTACACCGGTGACTCTGGTGCCCAAGCGCGGGCAAGAGCCGGTGTGGCGGCACTGGAACTTGAACTTTTGGAAGGCGCGCCAAAAACGGTGGGGAAAAAAGGTTGGTTCGGGGAGGTTCGCAGGGTGAACAAGATGGCGAAAAAAGCGCTGAAGGACTTGCTTCAGTTGGCTCACTGATCCCAACTAAGGATGTTTGTTTTTTTTTTTCAGAAGTTGGATGGGCTGAAGAGCTGTGCGTCCCACTCGCCACACCTTAGAATCCGATGTTTCAGGGAAGGAGCTGTGCTCTCGATCCACTGTGTTCGACACCAATCGGTTTCGGTGTTCGACACGACGTGGCGCCGGGCGTCCGGCGCCGTCAGGTACTGTCGCAGGCCGTCAGTTCGTGGTACCTGAGGTACCGGTGGATCCGTGGATTTCTCTTTTCGGGGTCTAGAATTGATACATTAGATGAAGCTGACCAAGCTGTTCCTCTCTAAGATGAGGCTCCTGTTTAGACCCATCTTGGAAGATTTGGGAATCGGTTTCCAGGGAGGGAAGAACAGACAGTACCCTTCTACCTCCCCTCCACCGCTGTGTTTCAGGAGGCCTGTGGTCTTGAATACTGCAACTGCCGAACTCGCTGGCCCGCCTTCGAGCAGGACGATTCAGGCCCTGTACCCGGTCCTCGCGTCGTTCGCGTCCACCGGTGCACGGTGGTGGCGCACAGGTCGAGTGGTACCTGCACGGCTCTATGAAAAGAAGTGCTACCCTCCGTCCAACAAACATGGAACTGGAACAAGGCCCCGAAAGGAAGACGGAATTCCTCTATGAACAGGCTGTATTCCATGATTGTTTCAGGGAGGGTCTAGGTCATGACACCCATCCAACTTTGGAAAATAATGAAAATAGCTCATGACACCGTACACCGAGCTGTCGACTTCCAGTGATACAAACAGGTCGACTGCCAGTCACGGCTCCGTGTTGTTTCACCAACGAAAGCATCCGACGTCGGGATGGGCGGAAGTAGCGACGTGGTCGAGTCTGTGGCCCAGACATGCTCTGCTTTGCCACCCCGCGGCGGGGATAGACCTGTAGTCTTCAAGTATGGCAGAACCGTGAAGAATAGGGACAAGTACATACAAGTCTATGCCTGTTCTTATCGCGTCATGTGACATGTGCTATTTCTAAGGTACATGAAGTCGGGTTCAGGGAGAAAGGTTTGGTGTGTTTCTTTAAGAGAACCGTTATATAGTTTGGACCCAAGACTGACTTGAGCTGCAGCAAAAAGAATGGCATTTAGAATCTGGAGCTGACTCGGGCGTTGTTGTTTTTCATCTATGTATCAGTGGGAAATTGCTGGCCAGCGAACCAAGTCCCTGACCTTTAACCTGGTATAATGTTTCAAGATCCCTCAAAACAGGATGCCCTGGCAGACCATTTGCATTTACAGAGGGGTTGGTTTTTGCTTGACCGTGGAGAACAATGTTCATTGCTCTCCAAAGATATTGAGCAGCTTGGCCCTCTGGATGCATGGCGACTGCTTGGCGCTGTGGCTTCGGCAGTCCCAGTGGATTCACAACACGTACCAGTCCCTCCAAGTCAAAGGCCTCGTTTTACAAGTCGTTTACAGCAGGACCTCGTAAAACTGGTCCTTTTGAGGTGGAGGGAGTGATTCCTGAAAATGAAAACCGTCAACCATTGGCAGTGACTTTGGATGAGGGCAACCCCTTCCCTCGCCAGGCATGGATGGCATTTGCATTGAGGCTGGCCTTGTGGAATACTTGGCCTCCGGGTAGCACACGCTTCGGCTTCGAGCACTTCGCCCGTTGGTCATCCATGAAAGTCACGGAGCACCCAGTCCTTGGGACTGAGGGTCCAGTCTCACCCGACGGTGCCGGTGTGAAGCGACGTCGCCCTGTCACCGCACATCAGACAGGTCCATCCAAAGGCCCTAAGAGTTCAAACAGAGGTAGTTGATGGTACTTGGAGCCCTACGGATCCTGGCTATATCATATCTACACCTGCACCATCAAAGGGGTTGTCCTGACTGGAGATCCATAAGTAGTGTAGCGGCTTCCATTGATGACCCTACAAAAGAAGCTGCTGGTAGGTCCAAGTTTTGGCCAATAAAGTTTGTATAGTACCTCAGTGTGCCCAGTCAGGCCCTAGCCGTAGGCTCTACCTTCCCCGTTTCAGGACGGACCAGTCGTGGCCCACTCAGGAGTACATGCTGGTCGTTGAGATCCAAGATGCTGCTTGCATGGAAGACCAGGCATTGGCCTTCCCTCGCTTGCAGGCGGAGTCAGAGCGAGAAGGGTGTTTTCTGTTTTTTTTTCAATGTTGGGAGGCTCGGAGCTCAAGAGCCAAGGTGTGTTGTGTACTTACTGTACATCTGTGTTGGCTGCCTCCGTATTGGTTTTGACCTATGATATATGTTGTGTTTGATGTTGTAGAAAACGGGGGTTTTGCACATGTCTATGTTGGACAGTGGGGGGTATGCATCGATCAATGTTGAGAATGATGTTTGATTGAAAAAGGGCTTTGGACATGTTGGCGGTGTGAACTTCATATGAAGTATATGTAACCCTGCGAACCCGGGAGACCGGTTTAACGAGTACACATCTGTACAAAAGAAGAAGGACTTTCACTGCATGACTCTGCACACCCTCCGATCACTTTTGGTACACTTCCTTTGATCATCGCAGCCGACATGGTGGTTCACCCGTGTTTCACAGTCTCCAATCAAGTTTAACTTCTGTAGTCTCTAATCAAGCTTAACTAGTCTCTAATCAGGGTTTGTTCATGGTCATTCACGGGTGATTCACGGTATCATCAATTAAATCCAATTAAGGTTGTTTTATTATTGAACAATCATTGGCAATATTGGCTAGAAGTATATACTGTAAGCTTTTACTCCGCGATCACTCCTAGTACTACTTTAGAGGCAATTATATAGACCCTACCCTTCAAAGACTATTTCAGAAACGGTCTTGGCCTCAAGACTATTGTATAGCGTGGGCAGCTACCAAACCATGGATTTTGAGGTTCCCAGGACTCAGATCAGGTGTTGAGTAGTCTAATGGACCTCGATCTGTAGTTTTGGCTTCCGACTCATCCCTGATCCTGGCGCAAATCCAAACGAACCTCGGATTGAGTTAGTGCTCGCGCATCAGCTTTTTTGATGGTCCTTGCAAGCTAGCAGTACACGCAGGGAGTCATGGTGGCCACATCCACCTGCTCAGGATGATGTAAGCCATGGGAGTATTCTTCTTCATTTGGGCGATCATATTTGCAATGATGCCCAGTTGCACTGAGTAGAAAGACTGCATTGTTCTACATGCACAAGGGCTTTGGTTGAAGTTTGTACGCATACCCAACAAAGGCCGAAGAGATCTATGAGCAGCAGAGTTGCGGTGGGCCTGATACCTAGTAGCTAGTATGTGGAAAACACGATATCGAATACCCTCGCTCAACTGATCGAGATAAAATAAGATATGGCCGGTGGCCTTTCTCAGGCCACAACTCTGATCTATTAGAGGCCCTGGCGGATGAGGATGAGGAAACCTGTGCGCCCATCGCATGCCTTTGCAGTCCTTTTTAATTTCAACTTCAGAAGGTGAGTTTTTTTTCCTGGATATACGTGCTGATTTCTGGGTAGCCCCTTTGGCCCTGTTTGGAACTCGCGTCGTGCAATCTGTTGATGCCTGGACGTAGGGCTAGGATGGACCCTGAACGCATGAACCTTTTGAAGGCCTGCCCATGCATGCCTTTTCTGAAAACAGTTGATTGATGTTTTCGATGCGTGCAGGTTTGCTCAAAACACGTTTAACAACGTTTTGGGAGGCTTTCTATGATGACTTCATCTCCCCCAAGCCGAAATCCATCAATGCGAGGTGGAAGGAAATCAAGGAAATGAAGAGTTCTAACGGATCTAGATCAGGAAACGCCACTAGACTCACACAACTTGTTTTGCATCATTGCTGGCCAAGTGAGTGGCCTTCGAATTGTTCTATTGTTTCCCCATGTGCTCTTGCGCCTGAGGTATTCAGCTTTGTGAACCTATCTACGGGCAAAGTTGGTGAGGATGAGGCCACAAAGCAAGCTACTAGTATCCAACTGCCCAACTCTGTGCTGGCAGGCTGAGCTGGAGACCAACTACCACTTTACTGTTGCGTTTCTTGCGAGTTTCGCGCACAATATGCCACCAGATTCCGAAATAGAGGACCTTCATCAAGTAGATTGCGTGCCCTAGTATCATCATATATGTGTTATAACTTTCGTTTCTTAACATGACTGTTTTCCAGGAAGTGCTTTTCCAACTCAGCTTGGACAACCCGCCCATGAACCCTTCCTTCACTTCTCGTGCTCAGCACAGAGTCGGATCGCTCAGACTCACATTCGCAGAAACTTGGCGTTCTCGAATTGGATTTGAGGCCTGGGCGCACATCGAAGCAGGGCTGAACCGATCACTACCGGCCTATGTCCTAGCCCGCTTCCAGAGGACACGGAAAGTAAGGCGGGCTTAAACCAGCAAGCCTAATTTTATACCTGATATTGATTAGAGCAAGCAAGGTTTGACAGTACAATGTTCCAAGCATATATAATATTGTCAGGCACGGGCATTCCAAAATGGAATTCCTGAAGATGGTTGCAGAAGATCGGCTCAAGGCCTTGATGGTGGGGGTTCATCAATGCTCCCTCTATAAAGGTTCATGTTTCGAAACACCGCAGCCGTCCTCCAGCCCTTCCGACTCGCTGCTCAGGCACATGGACTTCTCGATGATCGTGGCAAAAAGTGTCCCACTCGGGGGATCAATGCTCCTGGTGCAGCGCGAAGAAGGGCTGAACAGGTTGGGATCACTGTACTATATTAATTTGCACTTGAAAGGATCTTGAATTCAGTTTTGATTGCATGTGTTTGTGCACATATGCAAATTAAAGTAGATACCGATGGTCCGATGGTCCAAGACTGTGGGAATGGAGCCTGCGCAGGTGAATATGGACAACGTGGATACCCTTCCCATGGATGTGAATCTTCCAGAAGCGGAGGTTCAGGAAGCTGGTGAGGGCTCTGAGTCAGAGGAGCCAACTGGTGCGGATGCGCTGGAGAATGGTGATGAAAGTGATGATGATCCGGATGCCACATTTGTTCAGGGTCATACGTGTGAAGACTTCGACGAGGCTGCTCCGGAAGTGAAGGCGGAGGAGGAGATTGAGCAGCCGGATGTGCATCCTCCACTTGTTGATCCGAATGACACCGATGGGAGTGTTGCCTTGAAGGCCTGCATTGTGGCTTTTGAGTTGAAATTCGATCTACTTTTTGTGAGGAAAAAAGATTGATAGCGTCTTTGATTCTTGAACGCTGAAATTCTAGAACCCTGAAAGGATAGCGCTGCTCTGACGGAGCTGGCAGACGCGGCACCCAAGAGCTTGGAACTCGAAGCCGAAGAGGCAGCCAAAAAAACTGAAGGCATCCTCTGGAGAGGATGCTGACCTCTTGAAGGCTGGGTTAGAATCTTTGTCAAAAATAGACAGTCTGAAATAGCATCAGTTTTGATCAAAAAAATGCAATATAATATACATGATTTACATGACCATGTTCATCAGTTGTTTGCCAGGCCCAGCGACTTCTGCGCCGTGCTGCTCGCGAAGCAGATGCAGATGATGAGGAGGATCCAGACAAGAAAATGCGTGATGAAGCTGAGGCTGAGGAGGAGCGCGCGAAGCCTGGAGGTGGAAAAGGTCGAGGCCGTGGTCGTGGCCGAGGGGCAAAAAAGAACAAGGTGGAGATCGATGCACCGATTCCAGTTGATCCAAACGCAAAGCCAGCCGAGACTCCTGCAGAGGAGGTGCCTCCAACGCAGCCACGATCTCCGGAGAAGAAGGAAATTCGAAAACTCCGTGAGAAAGTCAGGATGACTCCAACCAAAAGAATGAGGACCAGTCCTGCGGGTGCATCGCACCCGCAGTCCAAGCGGAGCCGCAAGAACAAGGAGGACATGGCAAAGGCTAAGGATGGCGAGATTGAGGATGGACCCAAGGCGCAGGACAGCCAAGACCAGTTGCGCTAGCTAGTACAGGTGATGTAAATTTCCCGATTTGGACGCTTACTAAGTCACCACTTTGGTTTTGAAAAAATGGTGCACATGTGTAAAAGGTGTGTGCACGCATCCCCTTCTTTAGCGCGCAGTAGTCCAAACTATGCCACAGGCCACAGGGATCAACGGGACTTTGTGACCCCGCCCATGCCAGGACTCCAACTACGTGGTCCAGCTGCAGGGCGTTATTGGAGCCGGAGATCTGAACCATTTCAATGCCCCTGCTGGGTGGGAGACGAAGAAGTGGTGTCCTCATGTGAGAATTATCAAGATCTATCAATTTTGTTTGAAGGCATATTTCCAATCGGCCCAGAACTTGTTGCCTATCAGCCTAGGTCCTTTTCGTTGAAGCCTCCCTTTGAGAAAGGTGACGCCGAGAGGATGTGTTCTATTCAGGTTCTGTCGGCTGCCTAGCTAAAATCACGTCAGACCTCAGCATACGAAAAACTTCAACAGTGTTATATTGCTTGCTTGGCTCGATCCACTATGTTTCCAATATGAATCTGGAATGATATGAGGTACAACCGCTATGGGGCATTCTACATCCAAAAAGTGGATGACACTCGCATCAAGTCCTTGAATGAGTATGTGTCCGGCGCTGACATCAAGGCCAGCTCCATCAGGACACCACCTGCAAACGCACTGTGAATGCACAGTCTTGGAAAAATGCCACATCCTCGATTCTAAAACCGATATAGATCGATCGATCGTGCATGGAGGTCAACAAGCAAAATGGCGTTTCCCTTGGATGGTCACGTTTTGGTGGGATTGAGACAGCGCGAGGGTCTTAGACATCTTGAGATTTCACTGACATATATCACAACCATTGGGCCATATATATCCTGAGGTGGCAGATTGCGACAATCGCAGCTGGGTGGCTTCCGATGCCGTCGAAATCGGATGCCTGCTGAGTGGGCTATCGTTTTTGAACCAGCCTGCATCTGTTTGACTTTCTCTCCAATGAGTCAAATATAGCAACAATAATCTTGGCTAGTATATGGCACTAGTCATGTATCCAATGGTACTGTGCAGTCTGCATGCTGGATCTGTTGGGGTTCAGAGGGATCCTATGGATCTCCAGTTTTGACACACGTGTTTGGAATCCTTTGCGCTACACGTTGCAAAGGGTGTGGGTTCTGGGTAATCGATATCGCGCCGTGCCTGAAAGGCAGTGAAGTCCCGGATGCTCCATTGGCCA